TTTTTGCCGACGCAAGCAGCCTGGCCTGTTCTGCAGCAACGATAGCCCTAGTTAAGCGAGATACTGGCACAGTGCAAGGTCTACTGAACTCGAAGTCAAGAATCTCCAAGAAGAAACACTACGATGCCCAGACTAGAGCTGGTGGCAGGACCTATGGTAGCAAACATGGCCAATAACGTACAACAAGCTCTAACTAGGTAACCCGTTGCTTCCATCACCGTATGGATGGACAGTACAGTGGCACTCTATTGGCTGATGAATCCTGGAAATAATTGCAAGGTGTTTGTGGCATAATCGAGTCCGGAAGATCGCAACAGTAACAGAGAAGCTCAATATTTTTTGGAAATATTGCCCAACAGACAAGAATATAGCCGACCTAGGAAGTAGAGGCGCATCGGTGGACAAGATGGAGAAAGGTGATTGGTTCACTGGACCCGAGTGGTTACAGAACGAAGAAAAATGGCCAGAACAACCAACACTAGCGCGTTCAACGGAGGCAAGCGAGGAAGAAAAGCCACTGAAAGAGGTCGTAGCGAGCGCTAGAGAACACAGGCCTGAAGAGTGGGATCAGTTGTTGGAAAGCAAACCGTACTGGACTGTACTGAGAATCACTGCTTGGGCCATAAGATTCAAAGATAACACGTTGGCAAAGAAACAGATGAGGAAAAAGCGGAAAGGAGTGTTATGTACTGACGAAATCAGACAAGCCAAAGAGCTATGGGTGAGAAGAGCGCAGAAAATAATTCCGCAAGATACAGAGACACCAGGGTGGAGATTGGTAGAAGATAAAGAAACGGGCGTGCTCAAGTGCGTTGGGAGGATTCCTGGTTACAGACCAACTTACATCGAAGATTGTCTACCGACACAGAAGTTAATCCGACATCTTCACTCAGAGATCAACCATTTGGGAGTGGCCAACACAATGGTAGAAATAAGGAAAGAATGGTGGATTCCAAAACTAAGATGGAGAGTGAAGAAAATGGTCAACACGTGCAACCTTTGCAAGGTTTTCAGCACGAAACCTTGTGGAGTTACAGCAACAGCAGACATGCCACGGTTCCGCGTGGAAGCCAGCAGACTTTTTGAGACTACAGGAGTAGATTTTGCCGGATCTATTGCTTTCATGATCGCAAAGAAGGAGCAGGGAAAGTGCTACACTTTGCTGTTTACTTGCGCCACGTCGAGGGCGGTATATTTAGAAGTGACGAAGACCCAGACAGCAGAAGACCTTCAAAGAAAGTTAAACTTGTTTATAGCCAGGAGAACAAGGCCCAAGGTCATGATATCAGCAGATAACGCCTCAGTGTTCAAGTCTACAGCAACCTGGATGAAGAACATCAGGAAGAGCGAAAGGTTACAGGACTACCTGGCCAGACAAGACATAAACTGGCGATTCAACCTATCCAGATCCCCTTGGTGGGGAGGCATGTATGAACAGTTGATCAAGGACGTGAAGAAAACCCTTCACAAGACACTGGGCCGGACACACATTACTTTTGAGCAACTCGAGGCTGTGGTTATCGACGTCGAGAACAATTTGAACAACCGGACCTTAACCTACTTTAACAGCGATGGAGGGGAGGAACAAGTGTTAACTCCAAACATTTTGATGTGGGGGCAAAATGCCCACCCCATTGAGGGAGAAGAAGATGAAAAAGGAACAAGTGCCCTAAACAAGTGGCTGAGGGAGGCTAAAAATCATGCCTTGAAGAGTTGGAATATGTCTACAGCCTAATGGAGACTCATCGAATCACCCGCAAGACCGCAAAGCTACCAGACATTGGAGAAATTGTATTGATAGTCGCAGACGAGAAAAAACCGAGGAGAGTGGAAAAAGGGAAAGGTTGTACGACATATTCGAGGAAAAGATGGAGTTGTTCGAGGATTATAGTTGCTTCACAAGGGACACCGCATTGACAGACCGCTTAACCTCGTGTGCCCATTGGAAATAAGACAGGCAGTAGCGAGCGACAAAGGAGTGCCAACCGCACAAAGCCAAACACCGGAACGAACGAGAATCAGAAGACAAACAGCTGAAACAGCCAAAGAGAAGATTCGTCAAGTCATTGCGTACGAGGAAGATAACTGAGCTTTGCTACTTAACGGGAACAAGGACAGTTTAAAAATTGAGCTCCACTCAATTTTTAGGGAAGCGTGACCGAAAGGTGACCGGAAATGTCGTGACACTCATTTAAACCGGATGTGACTCTTTTAGTATCGTATTTAGTGTTATCCTTTTTTAATTAACATTTGAAATCGGAGTAGCTGAGTAGCTTTTGTTGAGATCGGTCGGAGAGGAAATGTACGAGCGGATGGTGATTTAAATAAAAGAAGGATTTATGATTTAAGCGAGCTACTTTGTGCCCCACAAGTTCGGTACACGAGTCTGAAATAAAGTTCACTGCTATTTTCAGTAAACGCTGGGTTCGATCAAAAACTCTATTTACCATCACAACTCAACTACAATGAACGTTCGAGAGCCACAAAATACTACTCCGCTCCACCGCTACACCGCATATGCAATGCAGTCTCTTAGCTTCTCTTACATCCCTAGGCAGTAGTAGCCTGTTTACAGACCCTCTATTTTCTCTTAAGGGCTCAACCATTTGACTTTTGAAGGGGGGAGGTGTGGGTGTTTTGGTTTGAGTAAGAATTTTTTTTTCCCCAAATCTCTGGAGATAGAATTTTTTTTCCTGACATATAAAGGTGTGAGATTTTGTTCAGCATTATACGTCATGTTGAAAATTTTTTGGAGTGAAGGTGTCTCCTTGTAGTATATTTTGTTTCTGAAATCACCCATTCCCCCTTAAAAGTGAAAATGTCGGCTACTTAGAGATCATCGAGCGTGAATGAAAATAAAAACCGGGGGGGGTTATTGGCCGCTAGAGCGTAAGGGGATGGGGGCCCTCGTTCTCGCGCTCCGCGCTCGCTTCGATCGGGTGCTCGTCGATTTTCGAAAGGAAAAAGAAAACAACGTCGGGTGTAGGCTAGGGCAGTTACATGAAAAGCTGTTTGGGAACTAAACGCTTCTTTCCATAGCATTTTACTACAAGTAGTTTTGGTGTTAATAAAATCAAACTAATTAATTAACAAAAAATCCGTAAGAAAGCCTCCGTCTTTTCCCCTAATATCCTGCAGTGTACATAAAAACATCACCAACTCAGGTCGCATGTTTCTATATTCGTCAAAAAAGGCACAAACAAACGGTGAACCACTTACATAGAAAACAATCGGAAATTGTTTCAAACGTATGATATATTGATGTGTTTTTTAATTTAATTTCAGAAGGTTAAGACTTCTACACCTGTAGTCTTGACACGTCAGACACGCACTCGGCTTTTATTGGCGTAAGTTGCAAACCGCAGACGTCATCCAGATTTGATCACACCCTATTTTCGCACGCAGATACAAGCACACAAAAACGAAAATTCTTTCTAGGAAAAGTGAAATATCTAAAAAAGGAAACTGCTTTAGCTACAGTTTAGAAATTCTTAATACTGCTTAATTTTATTGCAAAACTGCGCGCCGATAAACCCTCACAAGAAATTTAAAACATTACGAGAATTAAATTGGCCTTTATGTTGACAGATGAGACAGATATGAAATTATTGAACTGCAAACTGTTTTATTAAGAAATAAGCTAGGAGAAGGCTTGTCAGAAACCAAATACCATCGTTACGACGATACACAAACCACCTAGAAATATATTTATTCTGAAATCAGACATAATTTAAACAGTCGCCGAAGAGAAAAGAAGGTCCAGAACTGATCAATATCACATCACACTAATATACTGTTCAGGGTGATAGTTCTTATACTCGGTACTAGAACGAAGCTAAGCAAAACCTTCCATCTAGAGATGGCTGCCTTTTGGCTCAACAGTTTGATCTTTCTAACTATCAATGTTTTGACGGTGACATCCAACTCTGAATTCTGCGCCAGCGTTTTCAAAGCTCAAGTTGGTAAGTAAAAACACCTGTTCGCAAAAGTCTTCTTGTAGTTTTGTAACACTAAAAATTCCACTTTCTATCAATATAAACAGAAATTTAACAAATTTTTACATCTAAAATAATAAAAAACAGTTCATTTGGCCAATTTCAATCTGATTAATTTAATATATAAAACGTTTTTTCTCTTTAAGAAGCAACAGGAAGGCATATCGTCTTACCTCGGAAGCAGATGTGGAGGGTCTTGAGTGTCTTTGAAAATTTTAGAAGTTTCGTTCTTAAGGTCCTCTTAAGGTCCACTGGACTCTGAGATTCGATAAGATACAGCTGTAAGCTCTCATTTTTCCACAATTCCCTCGTTCACTCGTATTGCCAACCGTTGCAGTTTTCTTCGCAACAGTAATAATCTAAGTATCAGGCTTGAAACTTCAAGATACTATCATCGAACCTACGCTGAAGTTTTGTTTACAAACCGACTATTAGCATATTCTGCCGGATAGGTAAAGAACATTTTTCCCATTTTCCACCCATTTTTTCCTTTCTTTTGCCCTTTTTTATACGGTTCAAATAGCCCTGCAAGCTTGGAGTGCGCCCCTCCCCCCTTCGCCCTGTACAGACTTGGAAATTTATTTTTAATGATCTGATATGTAACTTGAAACTGAAATTTTCACCGCAAGTTTCGGAAGGAAAAGACCAGAGGAAACAAGCTCAAACAACCTACTAGGATAACAATATACTAGAAGAGGTCTGACGTCACGTTACCATGGTAGCAAATTTTGTGGATCACAAAAATAGGGAGCTTAATAAGCAACGACGATGGCGCAGTGAGAAGGGCAAAAAGCAATAGGTTTATATTAGCGAAACAACAACTTTGCCCGTGCATCACGCTTTATTTGTACATTTCTTAGCCGTCGTTGCTCGACTGCAACACCAAAAGTCCTAATTTCACGCGCCTGCTTTATGAGTTAGGTGAAAACAAACGAAAATTGTTTTCCTTTTTCTAAACTTAGATACAGTCCTTTCGGATACAACCCCAGAAAATTTCGCCAACATTTGAAAAATTAAATGAAATTGAATAAGATCGATGAAGTTTCAAACAGTGCGAGTTCACCTCAGTTTTAAGTGACTTTTTCGGTTTTTTGTCATCTAGAAATTTTGCTACCATGGCAACGTGTCGTAACGGCTTCGAAAAACAGTTCTATACTGTGAGCAGGCTAACTTCTCCCTCCTCGTCACCACAATAAAAAATTCTTCTTCGACGTCGCTTATTTCCCTTCCGTAAGCGACCGTTGCCATTTTTAACGGTCCATCCTATCATTGGTAAAAAAGTCTTTAGTCATGATAGATGTAATATATTCCCTGGATTAAGTTGAACTAAGGCGAACAATACGTTTTCCAATGGTCTTGGAAAGAGCGACGTTGAGGCTAAAGTTTAATTTACGTTAAAGTAATGGAAAGGGATAGTGTCATCTGTTATTGATGTATCAGTTAAGAAGACCGTTATGTACAATTTTGCCATAAACATAAACAGCCATAAAGAATAACTATTTCCTTAACATAAATGACTCGCGGATTACAAGTTCTTCTATTTTCCAGTCCTTAATTTTAGACCATTTTTTATTTGGTCATGTCATGAATGAGTCTACTTTTACTGATGAGTTTGAATGTCACCGAAAATGCCTCAGAAATAACAGCTGCAAGTCATTTAATATTCGCCCTGGTGCAGATATTGCAAAACGACTTTGTGAGCTGAACAACAAAACACGGAAGATGACGCCGGAAAGCTTCAAAAAGATGAAAGGATCTTCTTATTATGGACCTGTTAAGGTGAGTTTTAATGATTGAACATCAACCATGGCTTTTTACTTAACCAATAAAGAAGCCTTAAGTGTGCTCTGTTCTGTTGTAAAGCACGCAGTAAGAGGCTAGAGAACAGAGAAGTGAAGGGGAAACACTATATGTTGTCGAGTGTTTCTCCTTACTTCATGAGTGCTTTAGCCACTTCCTAAGTGCTCTACAACAGAACAGTGAAAAGTCAAGGCTTCTTCTTTATTTGTTTTATGTGACAAAGAAGCCATTAATTCCCCAAGCATTGATTTATAATTTCCAAAACAAACTTTATTTCCAAAGCGAACAGAAGTGACATCATCGTGTGCTACACTCTCATAAAAGACTCTTAAATTAGCCAATCAGAATCCATTTTAAAATGGGCCAGATGATTTGATTGGTTGAATAAGCCAAAAGCTGTCAAAGCTGTCAATGCATCAAAGTTATCACAAAGTGAAACGAGCTAAACTTTCTGTGAATTTGAATGCGGAAGAAATGTACTGTTTAGGTCCAAAAATCAGTTTCCAAATGTAAAAGGGCTTTTAAATCCTACCGAATTGACGACCCATAAAAACCTGGACGTCATTAACATGACAATTTGAAAACAACTGCTTTAGCTTAATTCCGATCGAAAAAAGCCCAAAAACTGAACCTGAAAGTAAGATAAGATGCACCAACGTTTTCGCAAAAGTGATGCTGTAGTCTCGCGATCGTCTTTGGAGCTAGTTGTATGAATGAACAAACTCAAAACAATAAGAAGTTATGTCTTAAATGTATATTCAAAAACTAAGAAGTTAATCCTTAAAAGCAAGTAAATCGGATGAACGCATGGAAAAATTGAGCGCAAAACCCATCTCAAATCGAGGTGCATTTTGTAATTATTCTTTAGCGCCAAGGACAGAAATTTGTAAAACGTTTGTGAAACAAAGAACAAAAAATGTACCTGAAACGTCTTCGAAAACTTTGCTGCCTCGGTTGAATTTCAAAACAGGACATTTGCGCTCCGTCGTGAAGAAAATATCGTTCAAATCCTCCAAGGACGATTTAGTTATTATAAAGCTTTCCTCAGTCCGCTAAAAGAAAACGGAGCATTCATTTGAACTAACCCTGAAATGCGAAACTTTGGTCTTGAAAACCACCGCATGGTGTGATTCACAGATGGTGTGACACCTTTAACTCCGTGTTTTATACTCTCATAAACCATGCTTTTTCAACCAATCAGAGTGCGCGTTATATCTGAACTTTATTATCAAAACGTTAAGAAAAAACCTTAACCAAAAAGAAGCAAAACACTTTTTTACGACGGTCACCATGTTCGGTTTTATCGGATTTCAAATAAGACGTAACAGACAAATATTTAAGTTCTCAATCTTCCGGTTTAAAATCTCTGGATTTTCGAGGTGTCCCTATGAAGTTTAATCAGAAACTCACAAGGGGTTGAAACGTGTAACTCGCGTTCAATGCTCGTGAATATTCACTTTTACCATATTTGGAAACCTTAGTGGCAGATACTCATTTTAAACAAATGGCTGCCACTCGATCACCATGCAGATGTTTTAAGACAAGAGTTCTGCATTTCAAGGTTAAAAATACACCGTTAAAAGACAAAAAATGGAAAGAGAAAGTTCAAAAGAATGNGTTCGGTTTTATCGGATTTCAAATAAGACGTAACAGACAAATATTTAAGTTCTCAATCTTCCGGTTTAAAATCTCTGGATTTTCGAGGTGTCCCTATGAAGTTTAATCAGAAACTCACAAGGGGTTGAAACGTGTAACTCGCGTTCAATGCTCGTGAATATTCACTTTTACCATATTTGGAAACCTTAGTGGCAGATACTCATTTTAAACAAATGGCTGCCACTCGATCACCATGCAGATGTTTTAAGACAAGAGTTCTGCATTTCAAGGTTAAAAATACACCGTTAAAAGACAAAAAATGGAAAGAGAAAGTTCAAAAGAATGCTCAGCTTTCTTTTTGTGGCGGAAGGGAAGCTTTTCATCAAGAAATTGTCCTTCGAATTCAACCTTGTTTTCTCCACGACGGCGCGCATGGTCTGTTTTGAAATGCAACCAAGGCAGCAAAGTTTTTGCTGAATTTTAAGGTACATTTTGCACTTTATGGCCAAGACAATTGCGTTTTTGAAAAGGAATTTATGTATTTTTAAATGTTTCATACACGTTTTATAAATTTTTCTCTTGGGCGCTAACGAAAAATTACAAAATGTGCCCCGATTTGAGATGGATTTTGTGCTGAATTTTGCCATGTGCTCAGCCGATTTCACTTGCGTGAACGGATCCACGATCCAGAGGGTGTTTTCCGAATTGCTCTGAAATTAACTTTTTGGATTTTGAATAAACATTTTCAAGAAACGGCTTCTCTGTCTATTGTTTTAGGTTTGTTCATTCATAAAATTAGCTCATAACACGATCGTGACTACAACATCCAAGCTGAATTTAAGCTTAAATGCTTCTAACATTCATTACAGGCAGCACTTTTTACGAAGATGTCAGGTTCAGGTTTTGGACACTTTTCGATACGCAGCTAATGAATTTTATTCGAAAATATTTTTTACTGTTTATTCTAGACTTTTAATATAAGTTAAAAGCCTATTTGCAGTATAAGTCTACTGTGCAGAGGGTCAACGAGGAATCGTTGTTTGAAGTGACAACTTCAAGAAGTTGCGAGGACGTCAGTGGGTTTCATAATGTTATGTTTGGCCCGGGTGGTGAGGCAATAATCTCCTGCTCAGTGTTTCGGTAAGATTCCTGGTTTCAACCTTTGAAAGCTTTCTCGGCTTTCGGGAGTTTTTCCCCCGTTTGTCGGCCATTTTTTCAAGCGGGCGCGGGAACCTGAAGTAAAATTACGTCACGTTGTTTACGAAGTTTGATTGGTCAGTTATCTATTCTTCTCGTTCCAAATATGGTACTTTTGAAAATGAATAATCACGAGCATCGGACAAAGCAAACATATGAGAGTTACACGTTTCAACCCCTTATGAGTTTCTGGTTTAATATTAATATTATGCAAATTTATGTAGTTATGTTTTCAGAACTGTGATATCGTAAATAGTACTTTTGATAACATTTTCTTTTCAATAATGATTTGTCGTACCGGTTTGTCTGTGGCTTGAAGCAGCTTAAAGTATATGTTTGTCATTGCTCACACGGTAAATATCGTTTATGGAAGGAAATAGAGAAAAGGTATAATATACATCAACTTATTTACTAATTACTGGTGAAAACTAAAGCCCGTAATGGCGTCATCCATAGTTTTCAGATATTGTTTGATGTTTCTAAATTCAGTTCGGTTTTTGAATTGATTTCTCAGGTTTCATGCCAAGATTTGCCCACCAACAAGAAGAAACAAGCTCAACCGGACTACAAACAACCTCATCCGGACTACAAAGGAAAAAGATCTGAAATTCGTGAGTAACGCTCGTCTATTGAATTTGATTCTACAATTGCTTCACGGCGGAGTGAATAATTATTTACCATATATAGTCATTTGTTTTATTATCTGCTGCAGCAAGGCCAGGTTGGAATTCCACGGACCCTGCTTATTCCTGTAAGAGCATCCGGGACTCTGGTGACTCTAAAGGAGACGGGAGGTATTGGATCGACCCTAAGAACAGTGGAAACCCGTTGAACGTTTACTGTGACATGACAACTGACGGAGGTGAGATCTGATCTTGAAAGTCTGAGATTGTTGTAATACATTCTTCAGATGAACCCACATAACTGACTAAGTAGGTTCTTAATTTGGTCCTTAATTTCTGTGAAGGAAAAAATAAATTGTTGATTACCAGAAAAATAAATTAACACGAGTTTAGTCCTTACGACTGCAGTTTTTAGTCACAATTTTATTTTTATGACCCTAACAAAACTGATTGCCGACTCTATACACAGCTTGGTACAGTATCTTCTTGTTATACTTTCAGTTTTAATTGTTTATCATAATTTAACTGTACCACATATTAGAACCTTCTTGATCTTGATGGGCTAGACAGGTTCTTGTGTTTTAGGGTTTTAAAGGGGCAAATTTGTGCAAGAAGGTTCTTAATCCATCAGGGTTTTTTACGCGAGTGTTTACTGTATATGTTTCTTTGAAATGTCCTAGTTAATAATTTTCGCAACATTATTGTGCCTTTGAGGGTAATTCATCTTACTGCACTCGCAATTGAGATTATTTGTGTCGCATCTTTATCTCCACACAATCTGCAGAGGGGGAGACACATCCTGTTTTTCAATGGAAGTCTTGATGACATTCGTCCTCAGTGCCTGATCTTGTGTGGCAGTTATAACGGCCTTCGGCCTCTTTCTTCCAATCCCCCTTCTTCAACCAATCCCATGACCTCTTAGCCTTGAATTGTTCTGTTTGACGCAATATCTGGCCATGAAGGGGCTTGTCCTCCACTTCTTAATCTTCTCCAAAGTTTTCTCCTTCTCATCGTCTGTTTGTGGTGTTCCTCATTTTCTTTCTTATCTCTTCAAGTCCTACTGTTTTTTGCAGTGGTTCCGTGATGTTTTGAACGCAATAGTCCAACTCCATCTCTTCATCAAGAAGACACTGCTCCAGGCCACTCAAAAACAGCCCCCGGAAAGTCGTCTAAAGTAGGATCGGTCAACATCAGGTCGCGGATGAAACATACCTTTTTTTTTCTATTTCTATCCACGGCCTCTAGTTCAGCTTTACTTTAGTTTACTTCTCCAGCTCCATGCCAGACAAGTGACAGAGCCTATAAATTTGTTGCAAGTATGGTAATTTCCCACTGACAAAGGACTGTCTTTAGTCTCCGGAAATATTCTTTCTTCAAAACGTTTTTCTTGTGCCCTTGAAATAGATCGTCATATTCCAGAATTCCCAGGTACTTATAGCCATCTTCTTCCACTGATTTCATTTTGCGATTATCAGGCGAGGTAATCCCCACAATTTTCTTAACATTTTCCCTCTTTAAGATGAGAACACCACGCCTTTTCATACCAAACTTCATGCCTATAGCCAGTACTGAACACCGACTGTATTGACCAGTGAGTCAAGCTCACGTTCATCCTTCCGTACAGCTTTAAGTCATCTATAAACAGTAAATGAATGATTGACTCCTCCTCTTTGTCTAACTAGTATTTTCCTTAAGGCTTTTATTATTATTATGATTGTTATTATTATCATTATTATTGCTGTTGTTATTATTATCATTAAGTGATAACGGGAGTTAACAGCGATCCAGAAGCATTGTTGCGGGAAAGGCTCTCACTATGTCTAGCTAAAATGGACTGAGCAAATGAACAGAGATGTTTTGGATTGTAAGAGACGGGCCATTGAAATGGCGTCATCAGAAAACCCACCGCGAGACGGGAATGGTAGAAAGAGAGGTTCGCTGGGAACGCTGCTATTTGGTGCAGTTGAGGAGGTGCACTAGTCAAATTATAATGAGATCGCTAGTGATTTGATTAAAGAAGCAGCACTGAGAACGAGAGGCGCTGGAGCTCATTGTAGTGTAGGCGCTATGGCTTTCAAAGGATCCTTTCTAAGAAGTCATTCAAGAAATCTGGCTCTAATTTGTGCGACGCTCTTGTTAACCAGACCTAAAAGAGTTTCGAAATATTTTCAGATAAGATCAACTTCTTAAAAGTCTGGTTATGTCTAGAGAGTACGTTTTGAAGAACATGGGAACTGGTGTTTCCAGTTTGGAGATTCTTCAGGACAAGAAGTCTATGAAGATCTAGCTGAAATAGCGTGATTTGAAATATCTTAAAACTTTTTGACCGTTAATATCAATCTGCATTATTGACGGTTGACGGTAAGAAATACCCTTTTTGACGCTTGACGGTTAAATTTTTTGCCTTTTGGCGGCTGACGGTTAACCCTATTGAAACGCCCCGTGGCATCTCAAGGCTTCACACGCGGACAACCAGGGTGAAAATAGCAACATTGTCTCGAAAACGGAGCGCAAATACTTGTTCTTGCAAATGTTTATCTTAATTTAACTTTGGAAAGACCATTAACACTAGCTCATAAACACAGGTGGCCAAATTGGCGACTTTCGCTGCAAGTTTAGTCGCCAATTTTCTTTTCTTTACTCGCCATGGCGACCAAAATGGTCGCAGCTTGGAGCACTGAATTTATTAGTGTTTTAAAATAATGTACAATTTATTGATTTAAATTAAGCAGTCACGTGTAATTGTGTTTGTAAACAAAATTTGACAGCCAATAATGCAGGCGTTTTCTCAGAGCTTGGGGTTCGCTCGATTACTCTTTACTGATGCTCAGCTCTGCTTTCAAAATAAGAGTTTCCCTTGTCCAACAAAATACTGCTAATTTTGCAGACCACCACGTAAATTCGTCATAGACAGTTTCAATGGTGAATCCAAAGGGGACCGGAGGTACTGGATCGACCCTGAGAAGAGTGGAAACCCGTTCAAAGTTTACTGTGGTCGACATGAGAGTTGTGAGATCTGCTCTTAAAAACTGTTCTTTACATGAACTCACATAACTTCCCTTCAACAGAATATTAGTTAAAACTTGGAAAGCTTAAAACAGATCAGGACAATAATTATCAATTACTGGATAAAGATAACTGTGATATAAAGAATTATGCAGATTTGCCTCGGCATAACAGAAAACAGATATTGTTTGCTGCCGTGTCAGTTTTTCTCTAAATTATACCTGTACCTTTAAAAACGGTTGTTTTTCCTTACTAAAAAACAACTTTCCATTTCAGGAGGATGGCTTCTCGTTTCCAACGTTGTGATTGGTTCAACTCCTCCCTGTCAGCTTCCAGTCAAGACTTCATACCGTGGAATAACAGGTGATCAGATGGTTCTCACAAAAACCGCCATGAATGAGCTGAGAACAAACTTGTCTTTCACGCAACTGAGATTCCACTGCAGTAAAAACAATGGAAGTACGTTCCACGTGACCACTGCTGCTAACAGCACTGGTGAAGCTGTAGTCCAGTACTTCAGCGGTCAGACGAATGTCCAGCCTGCCTCGTGTGGCTCATTTGTCAGAATGGAAAATGACAACCCAAGCCTGGCAAGAGTTTGCCAAAACAGGGGAAGGGAAAATAAAGTGTACAAAGTTGGCAAATGGGGTCATGGTCAAAATCAAGACAGGCTGTATATATACCCTGCTTTTACGTTTGACAAATATCATTGGTACATGAACCTACCTAATTTTAGTTGCGATGATCACGATGGCACTCCACTTCCAACATCATCTTGTGATTTCTGGAAAGTCTATGTTCGCTAAGAACTCGCAAAATTGATTGCATTGTCTAAATATGTATCTTATTAAGACACTTTTTTTGTATAGTTTTGGAGTGAAAATACGTTGGGTAGCAGATCATGTGAAAAATTAGATAGTAAGTTAGATATTCAGAGAACTTTATAAGAACTAATGCTCATTTACATTTTATCCTCGTTTTTAGCTTCTATTTATTAATTCGTGTTTTCCTTATTTTCTCTTTATATTTATTTAAGCTCGCTTAATTAGGCCTTTTGCCTTGAAGTTTTACCCGCTTTTCCCATTTATTAACATTTTCAAGTATTTAGCTGCAATATTTTTTCGTATATACAATCTTTCCTAAGTTTCACGTTTGCCTTCTATCATTGTTTGTTTGCATTTATTCAGTCAAGAGCATTTATTAAAATTAAATAGCAACTAAACGTTATTCCTAGAGAGTGTAATGAATGCAAGTAAAGCGTGTGCATTCACTCGCTGAGCTGATGTAGCGATGTCGAGTTTTAACAGGCGAAAACTATCATGGGTACATTGAATAATATTCAAACCATATATGTGACGATATCGTTCGTCGCCCTAAACTATCATTGGTGCATTGAGCCATATTCGAACAATATATGTGGCGATATCGTTTGTCGTAATAACCCAAATCCATCATCTACTAGATTTCTGGAAAGTCTATGCTCGCTAAAACGTTGAAACAGTGTTTTCAGCCAACATTCTTATTTTTTTTTTAATTATTGTAATAGCATCCGACATTAATGCACATGTACGATATATGAAGTATACTATGTTCCAAGAATGAAAACGCAGAAGGTCAAATTGTAAGTTGCTGAAAAGAAGGGTTATAATGTGGCTTTACAGAAGAAAGTTAAAACCGCTATAAATGAACTGAGAACACACTTGTCTTTCACCCAACTGAGATTCCACTGCAGTAAAAAGAATGGACGTACATTCCACGTGACCACTGCTGCTAACATCACGGGTGAAGCTGTAGTCCAGTACTTCAGCGGTCAGACGGATGTCCAGCCCGCTTCGTGTGGCTCATATTTCAGAATGGAAAATGATAACTCAAGGTTAGCGGGTGTTTGCCAAAAGTGGGGAAGGGGAGCAAGCTGGGGCGTAGGATTTGATCAAGAGAGATTATACAGCCACCCTGCTTGGGTTTATGGTTTATATCTTTGGGCGCTTGATCATCCGAGTGGTGGACAAGCAAAAAGATGGGAATGCGACGATTATCTTGTTGGCGTGACCACCGGTGATTTCTGGAAGATTTACGTTCGCTAAAATGTTTGTGTGTTGACGTCTGTTTTATTGTTAGTCTTATTGGCTGTAGACGTTTAAAAAGTACTAGTAGTAAAATGACGGCATGCTACAAATAGCCCATTGCTAACTTAGATGAAAATACCTTGATTTTCAAGCCATTTATAAAATATATATAAGAAAAAATTATAACTGTTAGGAGAGATTTTTCTTATATTCGTCATTTAAAATTTGCTTTATATCAGTTTTCGTATATTGCATTTAGCTTTCGAGTATTAGCTTTGAATAAAGCCACAAAAAGCTCATACCATCTAATCATTGTGCTGTTTGCTTTCAATTGTGTCGCATGCACCAAAGTCACTAAATATTAAATTATCCTAGAAAATCCAACTTTTGAGCTTATTTATAAGCAACCAAACTGAGGCCCAGTTAAGCAGTCTAAACCCCGGGGATACTCCCTGCAATGGTAGGAGGCACTGCTAGAAAGGGATACCTTTGTCAAGTGTCAGGTATATAAAAGGATAGGGATTTCACTAGTTGAAGTATAAGAATGGGCAGGGAAATCTGTCTGTAAAAAGACCTAAAGTTGCTAGAAGAATTTATGGCTGTGTCGAGAACATTTCCTGGTTTTGTGATATATTTATATTTTAAAGGCAGTGCATTTTTAACAGTTAAAAGGGAGGCAACGTTCTAAATTAGGTATGAGAAAGGGATCCTTTTTTT